GCCTCGAGGGCGCGAGGGTCGCGCCGCCTCTGCCCGGTGCAGCCTCCCTCGCCCCACCGGCAGGTGGGTCGCTTTCCTCTTCTCCTCTAACCCCCGCTTCTTTCCAGGTCCCAGCTCTCTCTCGCAGCGGAGCCGCGCCTCGGGGCTCCTTTGTCCACAGCTAGCCCGGGCTGGACCAGGAGGAAGACGCGGTCTTAAGCAAAAGTGCAGTGGTGCGCTTTAAGGAAAAGTTGCCTTAGTTTCAACCCATGTTTTATGTTCGATCGTCACTTTGCTGCCATCGCGTGCAGGTGGCTTTATGCGTTTGTGCAGAGAGGGTCCTGGTTGACACAGATGCCCAAATATGTAGGGAAACCTTTGACTGACACCGACGTGAGCCTGGTCTCGGTGCGCTTGGGTTGTTTCGCTGGCAAAGCGGACACGCTCAGCTGTCTCCCAGGCCATTCAGAATTCATGGGAAATGCAAGGAGCTCTTCTGTGAGTGAAGTGTGTGTGTGCGCCCATCCCGTTGTTTAAGAACTGTGTGCGTTCAAATTTGTTTTGAGAAAGGCCTCCGGAGCCAAGAAGCTTTTACTTTTGTAGACTGAATTGTTCCCACTCTGCTTGGGGGGCTCTAAAAAATCTGAGGATAGAATTTCTGAGTCAGACGTTACAAACGCGTGTATGTATTTCTATGATCAATTTTGTCCAGAAAAGTGAACCAAGTCAATGGATTATTTATGAACCTGCTAGCTCTCATCATAGTAAGACGAGATCAAATATTTAATGTGTTTTGCCTTCAGTTACATAGGAAAAATGTCTAAGAAGGCAACACTGGGAATTGTGTTTAATGAAAGGGAGGGGAGCTAGGGGCAGCATTAGTGTCTGGGTGTGCAGGAGTGGAGGAAACCCGCAGCTTTCATTCTGTCCCATCATTTCTTTGTGTGGAGTTATGGATGTGGGAAGGCTGAGTTTTTCTACTATAGACCCCTGGGTTTTCATGACTGTTCCTGCACAGGTGAGAAGCAGGCTTCTCTGCAGCGCCTGAGAATTTACCATTAATGGTGTGTGTGTGTGTGTGTGTGTGTGTGTGTTGCTGAGGATTGAACCCAGGGCTTCACACCTGCTAAACACTCCTTCTACCACTGAGCTACACAAAAAAGAAATAAGTCTGGATATCCAGGCTGGTAGTTCTATCTCTGAAAGTCTTAGGTAGATCCACCAGAGTGTTGTGGGGACTTCTGATTCATTATAAAGTAGAAAAAAACCACACCCAAAATGGCCGCTCCATCAGGTGTGGGCTTTGATTTGCACGAAGTAGTTTCAATCTGCTCTAGCTCAAGTTCAGTGAAAGAGGAGAGAGAGAGAGAGAGAGACAGAGAGACAGAGAAAGGAAGGAAGGAGGGAAGAGAGAAAGAAAAAAACCCATACTCTGGTATCCCACCTAGGAGATTTCAGAAGTAATTACTAGCTCAGACAGTCAAACCCATTTCTTTCAAGCTCTTTGTTTAAGAAATATATGTGCTGAAGGTTGGCAAGGGGAGACAGAATAATGTTGAAGTATTATTGGAATCAGCAAGACCTCAGAACTGCTTGAGAGTGGTTTAAGAGTCATCTGAAACATGGAGAGGCTTGTCTGAAAGTTTCAGAAATGGGCAGTGTGACTGTGGATCAAGAATGCTTGGCTGGAGGGGGATTAGGAGTGTGGGTTGGGCTCTCTGCGGCAGGCTTGCGAAACGCTCTGGATGTCCCCGCCAACAAGCATCACAGGTAATTCCAAAAATTAAGCCTGCTCGTGGCAGCTCCTCCTCTTTCATACTTTTAAAGTAGTATAATTTGAGAGTCCTGGAGGCAGGGCTATGAGTGAAGTTGTGTTTTATTTTGGCTTATGGAATCAACATGATATTGTCCTGACTTGACTCCTGAAGATACCTTGCTGGCCAAAGGAAAAGCATGCAGTCTTTTTTTTTTTTTTTTTTTTTTTGAGACAGTAATTTAGGATTTAAGTTATTCCTGGTAACATTTTGGCTCCACTGGGGCCCCGTGATCTTTGGCTCCAAATGACTGGGAAGCGAGGAGACATGCATTATATGGTGTCCAAGTCCCTTCCAATTCATTCTCTAACTGTGCCACAAACCTCTCTCTCCTCTGAGAAAACAGGAGCTGTGTCAATGGTGCAAAATTGCCTAAGAGCTTGGACTCTGCCCAAGATGTTGCTGTCGAGTCAGGGTCTTCTGGGGGAATCTACTCGGGGAGAGGCTTCACACGCTCTGACACATGTAAGATAAGTCTTACATCTCAACCGCACCTAACCAACAGGAACTGAGTCCCCCAGGTCCCCTAATGCTGTCTGCAAAGTAACCAGGGTGTGGTGCTGGGGAAACAGTCTCCAGGTACACAGATTCGTACTGTGCCTGTTCCTCCTAACCAGTCCCCGAGCTACTGCAGGTCAGCCACACTCCTCTGAGAACAGTGGTGTTCAGTGGTGCAGCCTGGGTATGGAGACCAACATAATAAGCACCAGTTTCTTGGGTTGTACAAATGGTGCAAACGCACCATTCTCTTAGGGATATCAATTTCTGTGCTACTTGGGGCAAAATAGCATTCTAAGGAAAGTAAACTGACATCTTAGGAGAGAACTCGGTGGAAAATAGATGAAAGCAGCCTTTAAAAGACACCTGGCATAACTGATCATGCCTGAGCAGAGAATTGTATTTCATTTCTAGGGTGGGTATGAGACCCACCATGGCTGACACAGCCCCCTGATTTGTAGGCAGAGCGCCATCCACTGACTTTGGTCCATATTCAGCAAGGAGGGACTCTGAGTAGTATCTCTCCATGGGACACTCCCTCCAGCCTTCCTGTTTTTAGCTCTTGGTGACTGGGAAGATAAAGGTTCAATTATTGAATGTCAGCAGCACACTTTTAAACTGAGCAAGTGTTTTCCTAGCCCTGTGTCTGACAAGGTGACAAAATGAGTAGAGATAAGGCTGTTTAAGGCTGTGCAAGGATGTCTGACTGCCTTATTATTTCTACCTTTCCTTTGGTGTCCCTGGAACCTGGTTGCAGCTGCTAGTTCCTATCCTACCCTGGACTAAGGGGACTTGCTAGTGGGTATTTAAGCCATGGCCCTTTAAACTCCATGACTGGTGGAACTCTACTGACCACTTCCACCTCTGGACTACAAAACCAGAGATGCACCCTGCAGTGTTAAGACATGAAGGTGACATCCCAGGCTCTCCAGAGACTGACAAGTGACAGATGACAGGGGAAGGTCTCCTGGGAAGCTGAGGTTCAGTTTCTGTCATTATCTGAAGTAGGGAGGGCACAAATAAGAGAAGGGTTATGCCAGGCTGCAGTAACCTGGGAGAGCGCTTCTCAGCCAGCTCAGGAAAGGGCCCCAGGTGGCAGGGTGGTGAGGAGGGTGGTGGCAGGAGGGGCTGAGCTGTGGGCCTTGCTAAATGCTTTTTGTGTGGTTCTTCAAGGCATAGTCAAGAAAAAAAGGACACTTATTTGCTTTGTTACTGACTGTCTGAATACAATAAGATAAATGGATTTTTTTTTCTCTCTCTCTCTCTAATTAGGGACTGGGAGCCCAGAAGGGTCCTGGAGGTGAAGGAGGCTGGCTTGTACTTGCCTAACTCTCAGGACATCATCACCAGGCCTAGGACACGTGTGTCCTGAGCTCCAGGTTCTTTTCTCTCCCCAAGCTGGTCATGGGCTTGATGTCTTTAAAACACTAATCAAATTAGTTGGTTCTTTCCCTCCTTTCAGAGGAAAAGAGCTGGGGGAGGAAGAAGCAGGGAAGAGCCTGAAGGGGTGGAGAGATAAGCTATTTTGGGCTGACTGGAGGTTTCCCAGAACTGGTCTGAGGGCTGGAATTATATTTCTCTAACCAATTTTTTTTCTTTTAAGAAAGTTCAAATGAAGGCTAGGGATTTAGCTCAGTGGTTCTGGGGACTGTTCAATCCCCGGTACCATTTATGTTGAAGGTTGCACTCTAATTATAAAAATCTAATCTTTGCATATAGAACATAAAATTTGATATATTTGTAATATAAGATCATTGATGCAATACATAATTTAATATCTGTATGTCAAATTTTCTTGTTGAACCTCTTGAGAGTTTACGGACAGCCTAGTAGTTTACTCCTACATACTGCAGCATGTATGCCCTCAGAACAAGGACCTTCTCTGGTGTTAGCGATGCTATTGTGGAATACAGGGCTCATATTCAAGTTTCCCCTGCAGCTCACTGATGTCCTTGGGAACCGATGTGGTTTACTTTTTGCAGTTGTACTTTCCTGGGTGTCAGAAGTGCTTCTTGCCCTCCTCTGAGTGCACAGCTGGGAACTAGATCTATGCTGTGTAATGATGATCTGTTCTTTTCACGAACTCTCCCAACACCACACACAGGGAACGTCTGTCTCAGTGATAACAAAAATGAAGTACTAGAGTGTAGCTCAGTAGTAGAGCACTTGCTTAGCATGTGCAAGGACCTAGGTTCAATCCTCAGAATTACAAACAAAAAAAGAAAGATATAAGTGACACTCCTAATCCTAACACATCACTTGTTTTGGGTTTCTTAAGTCTCTTTCCTGTCCTTATCCACCTTTAAATACCATTACATCAATTTCTGCAAAAAGTTCTAAGTCATGAAATTAAGTTAACTATACTAAGGAATTTGTGCCATCAACTTTCAAAGCCCTTAAAGGGCCTAAAAGAAACCAGGTGCAGTGATACACACCTGTAATTCCAGTACTTTGGGAGGCTCAGGCAGAAGCAGCTCAAGTTCAAGTCTTGCCTGGGCAATTTCGTGAGACCCTGTCTCAAAAAAATTTAAAAAGGAGGCTCAGAAGTAGAGCACTCCTGGGTTTGATCCCTAGTACCCCCATACCCCCCACACAAAGGGCCTAAAAGATGCACCTCCACAGAATCTGTATATAAGTCTCTCTGCTTGTCTTTTTCTTTTTAAGCTTAGTTTTCCTCAAGAACCAGAAAGAAGGTTAAAATACATAGATAACTTCTGCTCCCCACCCCCAGATGTGGTTTGGTAGTGCCATGTTCTACAGCTTTGGTTTTAGATGTTTCTTTTCCTTAACATTTGTTCCTGTGGGCAGTAAACGTATTCCAGATTCCAAACACCCAACTCAGAAACATGCATTTGGGGCCAGGGATTTAGCTCAGTGGTTCCACCGCCTGCCTCACAAGTGTAAGGACCTAAATTCAATCTCCGGTATCAAAAAAGAAAAGAAAAGAAATAAGCATTTGGAACACAGACAGTAGTGGCTGTGACTGCGGCTCCCTGTTTCAGAGTTAGAAAGTATAGCTTGGGCTCTCCTTTAACCCTAGACAGGACAGTCTTTTCCAGTCCTGGATCCACTGAGAGCCATTGTGGAACCAGCCCTCCTCCTCTACCCTGGGATCACTCCCACCCTCAGAGGGGAACTCAAGGAGGGGAGGGCCCTGGTTGATCTAGACTTAGCCTCAGGACCAAGAGTGCTGCCTGGGGCTGCCCTACAAGCTGAGCCTGGCAATGCATCTGCAGGTCACGCAGCACTCGAGCACGGAGACGTGTACATCATGGCCCTGCTTCCATGGGGACACAAAGCACATATAGGAACTGTGATAACCAATGATGTGAGCAATTTTACAGCACAGAGGGAGATCATATTGGGCTGGGCAGTAAGAGAAGGTGGGTAGAGGCTTAACCCAGTCCTCAGAGGAGGCAGAGAGGGGACCTGCAGGTCATGTTTGGAGAACCACTCATCCTGAGTAACCCAGAGTGCTTGTTAAACATGCAGATGCCTGAGCACTCCCTTGGATCTCTTGAATGAGAATCTTTGGGAGAAGATCCCAGGGATCCGTTGTTTACAAGGACCCCAGGTGACTCCAAGGAACAGCATGAACCAGTGAGACCCCAGCTCGGGGCCACAGGTCACTTACAATCCAAGGCCTGTGGGCCTCAGTTCCCTCACTGGGATGTGAAGTAGAAACAGAATGGACTGTTTGGGTGTGATGATGGTAGTAAGACGACTCACTGTCATTTACTAATGTGTTCCATGTGCTGGACACTGAGTTAAGCCTTTGTCATACTTAGAAGTCCCACAGCAGTCTTTAGGGTTTTTTGTTTGTTTCTTCTACTTTTTTCGGTACTGGGACCAAACTCAGGTCCTTGCACTTGCCCAGGCAGGCGGCAGAACCACTGAGCCCTGGCCCAGTCTTTGGGGATTTTTATGGTCTAATATTTTTAAAGAGGAGGAAATAAAGGCTAGAAAAGTTACACATGGGATCTGGGATTCTGCTGCAGATTGTAAGACAGAGATGAGACCTCTGGATTGTGGATGACTCAGGAAGGTGGCTTGTCTGGGCTTGACTGCATTTTCACTGAAAGAGGGCTGCTTATGCCAAATCTACTTCTTGTTGGATTTTTATGAAAGTCTAAACAATCTATTGTACCTCTGGCCAGCTTCTAGTCAATCTGGATCTATCACAGATAGCTATTATTCTGGTAACTGGCTCAAACAGCTCAGAAGACTTTATCTTACTTAATGTCTTTCCCCAAAACAAAACTGTTTCTCTCTGTCCTACAAGGAATCCTTTGGATAAGGAGATGGCTGTGATAGTGGAGTTCATGTCTACCCTGTATGTCCACAAAACAAACAGCTTTTCTCTACCCTCTTCATCTATAGACCAGTTCTTTTTCTTTTACTTGAAAAGCAAGCTGGGGTCCTTACGGTTTAATGATGTGACACCACATCTTCGGAAAACTCAGCGGTCCCTCAACGTACAAACCTGAGCCACCGCCCAACACAGTGGAGCCTGTGAGGAAGAATTAAGTAAGCTCCAAAGTGCTATGACTGAAACTGAGGAACAGTAGCTCCAGGAGACTTGTACAGCTCTGGGGAAACTTTGGAGCTGGAGCAGCACATTGGCAGGAATCCTAGCTACAGATGTGCTGCGGCTCAGTGGAATCCCACCCCCAGCTCCTTGAGCCGGGCTTCTTGTTGCACCGACTGACATCCTTTCCAAATTTTGGCCTTGTACTGTGAGTTCCATGAAGGCAGTGCTGTTCCCATCCTGTAGGCACACAGGTGGCTTTGCTGAATCAGTGCTTCTCCGCCATCAGTCAGGGGGCAGAGGCTGCCATGTTTACTGCCTGGGGAGGCACCAGAGCTCCCTAATTTCTGTCATCCTTGGTAGGTGCCTTGGGAATTTTAGACTCTGCATAGACAGTGCAAATTGCCACTTGGCTTGATGACCTGTAATTAGTCATATCTCAGTGTTCAACCCGTAATTCATGATGGGGTTTGGTTTGGTATTGTTATTGAAAATAGATGTCGAGTATCCTGCAAAGTAATTTCACTTTGATCTTGACACATGAATTGAAAATGTAAAATGTCTACAGTGCTTTTGCTTAGATTGTGCTGATGGGCACTAAACAGACAAGCCAAGTCATGGGCATTTCCAGAGGGCTGTGTGGTTTTATGACTAATCATAGTAAGTAACAATTACTTGCTTGTTTAGATACGAGTTCCTCGGGCTACAGAGATAGAGTTTGTGGAAAAAGGAATGGAGATTTGATCAGAGGTTTAAATAAAAGCAATCCTCTTTTTAAAAAAAAAAACTGGGAGTGGGGTAGGGTGGTAGAGTAAATTAGCCAAGAGGCAACAGGAGCACAAATGGAAAGTCGACCATGACCTTCAACAACTCTACAGCCCTGGTTCCCCTCAGGTGTGGAGATCTGGTGTTGGACCGTCAAGCTGACATCCCACAGCAGAACTGAATCATGCTGCACCCTGTACAACCTGTCACCTCCTCTGCCTGAACAACTGCACAAATTCAAGGTGCAAAGAGAGGCTTAGGGACTTCTAGTCATGGAGTGACTCAAAGACTACCTTGATGAGTTCACCACTGTCACACTGACCTTGATTGCCATCTTCCTAACCAGCAGGACCCAAATATATTTTTAAAAAGAAAGCTTTCAAGAGAGCAGTCTCAGAAATTGTCCTTCTTAACTACTCATATGTCTACATCCCTGGGCCAACTTGCTCTCAACCATTGTTTTCGGAGGTCTCAGTGGAAAAAGCCAAATACTCTGCGGAACCAGGAAAGTGGAAGAGGAATTGGGTCGAAAGGGGCCCAGGCACAGGCTGTCTGCTTCTGACCCCCAGATTTGTAACAGGATTTTTCTCTAACTGGGAGAGGCAGGCGAGTGAATTGAAGAAAAGGAGCCGCGCATACCTGTGTGGTGTTCTGAGTGACTGTAGCTTTCTGTGTGTCTCCCAGTTTTCATGATCAAGAGGAGGCACAGTAGGAGAGCCCCAGAAAGCAGAGCCATTAGAGAGGCAACCCAAAGTCCTGGGTTGCCTGAGGGATATTCTCAATGTTTTTTTGTTTTTTTTTTTGTTTTTTGTTTTTTTTTTTTTTTTTTTTATGTCGTGGGGGTTTTTTTTTTTTTTTTTTTTTTTTTTTTTTTTTTTTTTTTTTGGTACTGGGGATCAAACTTGCGACATTGTGCTTTCGGGGCAGGTGGCGGAACCACTGAGAGTTTAATTTTTTTTTTCCCCCTTTCTAGCAAGTTAAAAAGTACTGAGGGATATTTCAGGAAACCAAACCTTTATGATGGCTTAGAACAAAAATAGAGAATAGGGCATTGTTCTTCCAAAAGCTGCTCATCATAGTTCCCAAGAAATCAAGATCAGAACTCTTAGGGACTGAACCCCTGGGGACCCCAGAAAACACACATTGATCCCCACCCCCAAAATCCACCAGCCTACACATCTTTTCCATCCTCCCTGCAGGATGCTCAAGTGGAGAAAATAAATGAAATATGGAACAGACCCTTTGGCTTCAGGGCAGGAGGGTAATGAATCACTACCGTGGCTGAGTGTTTACTCCCCTCCCTGTGTGTTGCTTCCGACAACTCTTCTCTCTCCATTTAAATGAAATGAATGTGAAGGTATTGAAGATAAGTTCTTAGAGAAAATTTTGGAGGCTGGAAGAAGAAAGAACAGGGAGGGCGGCTGTCAATGGGCAGGTTTTGTCAGCTGGGTGCCATCTGCCCCCTGCTGTGAAGCTCTTTGTCCCTGCTATTTGATCTTGAGATTCTTCACGTTTAGTGTGGAAAAATAGTCACTGCTTTGAGCAAGAGAGAGTACAGAGGCCTCAAACAATGCAACCAGAGACCACCAAATTCAAGGTTAACTTAGCTGTGTATTTAAATCAGTTCATACTTCAATCTCTCTCCCTTTCTCTCCAAAAATTCTTTGACCCGATACATTGTTAATTATGGTACATAAGAGAATGTGTGTTTATTTTAAAAGTCTATGGGGATGTGGTTGTAGCTAAGTGGGAGAGCCCTTGCTTAGCATGCATGAGGCTCTGGGTTTGGTTGCCGGCAGCAGACACAAACACGTACACGGGGGTGGGGGGGATTGTTTTATTAAGTAGAGTTGTGGTCCTGAGCAAGAGTGGAGAGTAGGGAGAGGCCAGACATAAAGGATGAGCAGGCAGAACGAGGTTTTGTCTTAGGGCTGCTGTGTCAGAAATTCATATTCTTGCATCCATCCTTGAGCCAGGGATAGTGTGATGGTTGGTCTTGACCATCACACTGTCTGGCTTCGCAGATGCTTAGGTCAGTAAACACACTTGTGGGTGTGTCTGGGTGGACCACAGGGACCTGATCTTGGGGACTTGATCTGGTCCCTGCCCCTTCTTCTCAAAGTTCGCCCCTCCTACCCTCTGCTACCTGGTGGCTATGAATTGGGCAGCTTTTCTCTGCCATGCCCTTTTACCATGAAGTTTCTGCCTTGGAGCCAGCTAACCTTGGGTCAAAACTTCTAAAATCATGAGCCAAAACCAGCCCGTTTCCTCCTTTAAGTTGTCAGGTATTTTGTCATAGCAAAGAAAAGATGATCAATGCAGATAGACTAGGGGGTAGAGGCCAAACAGCTGGATAGGATAGAGCCCAGGACATCATCTACCCTCTCACACAGTTAGACACACACACACACCCTAGTTACACAGACCTGATTTATCACTCTCTCTCTCTCTCTTTTTTTTTTTTTTTTTTTTTTTTTTTGGTACTGGGGATCGAACTTGGGACTTGCACTTGTGAGGCAGGTGGCAGCAGAACCACTGAGCTAAATCTCAGGCCCTGATATATTTCTTGTTGCAGTATTTTTGGCAACAATCAATCCCTTTTAAAATTTTTATTTTCCCCCTTATAGAAAAAAATAGAAAGCCAATGAACACAAAACCCTAGTTACTCTCCTTCCCTGGTGTTCATGTCTTCAAAGTGAAGCTACTACTGCTTTGTGTTCTAGTTTTTCACTCACTGCATTTTAGCCTTCACATTTCTATGAGCAGATAGTTAACTCAGAGTCACTGAAGGCCCTGGACAGGGTGGAGGCATACTGCACATTTGCCATTTTTAGCACCTAGCCCTCCTGCTGCTGAATTGGAGAGCTGGCTTCAGGGCTTTGCAATTGTCAAGAGCAGGAATACTGTGTTTCTAGAAAAATGTTAGGTTATCTTAACTAAGCAGAGACATATTTCAATTCCTTAACCATTTCAAGAGTTTGAAATCTCAGGCTCAAAAGAAATGAAGTGAGCGCGAAGATCTTGGCTGCTTGCAGCTTTATAACAGGTCAAAGGTTTAAAGTCCAAAAGGGCTCAGATTTCTACCCCACATTTGCCATCTCAGACCTCAGTCCAGAGGAGAGTGGAGCTGCCTTCCCTGCTCTCTGGCCCATGGCAGCGTAAAGAAGGCACAGTGACCCTGGCCCAAGCCTCTCCGCAGGGCTGCAAGGAGACAGGGACACTATGTACGTCGTCAGTGACTCTCATGCCCTTCTCCCTGGCTCTCCCAGATGAGACTGACAAGTGGCCTGGCTACAGGAGCTGCTGTGTGGCAAGAAGAATGGTGAGCAGTAGCACTACCTGTGGCCCAGTGGGACCTGCAGAGGCTCACTGGGAAGGCAGAAGGCCACGTACAGGCAGACTGCACATGTCCTGCAGCAGCTAGAACTGCCCAGAGTTTCCCAGACCAGGGCTAATGAAGAATGAAAAAGATCCCAGACAATAAGTTGGGGCATCTCACAAAGGGTGGCTTCTACCTCTGTCCTTTGCTTTTTTTTCTTTTTTGGATCATATGTATAGTTTACATGAGATCTAACTTTGAGCATTCAGTTTAAATGATGGACTGAACTGTCCTTCCCTACCTGCAGGCAGAAACCTCTGCTTTATTTGTTGTTTTTCTAGCACAGATCCAGGAGAGTGCTTTGTGACACTTTGGAAAGAGCTCTCCTGACATTCTTCTGAGTTCTTGATGTGCTGCAGCGTGAGATTCTGGTCCCTCAAAGGGAGTACTTTTAGAGAGTATGTGTACAACCTTACCTACTTGATGTCTTATTTTGTGTAGGTGTGTGTGACTTCCTTTTCAAATTACTTGGTTGTGATTTGACACCCTGTATAGGTTGGAAAATGAATATTCTGGCTTACTTGCCTTTTCTTCAGTACTAGGGATTGAACTCAGGACCTTCCCACTGGGATCCATCCCCATCCCTTTTTTAAATTTTAAGGCACAGTCTCATTTAGTCACTAAACTACCCAGACTTGCTTGAGCTTGAGATCTTTGGGCCTCAGCCTCTTAGACTGCTAGGATTATAGGTGTGCACCACTCTACCCAGCTTCCCATTAACATTTAACAGGTGCATATGTAATCACATTACTTAATGTAAATTAAGATGTATGACGATTTAATACTGAAGACAAGCAAAGTGCCTAATTTTGCTCTTTCTCTGTGTGCCTTTCCAACAGAGCTCTTGATCCCATCACTGTAAAACTCTGAGGGTCTCCACAAAGCCAAACACCAAGAATTCATTTCAGGTCCTTGGCAGATGGGCGCCAGTGCTATTTACTAACCAGCAAGATGGAGACCACACCCTTGAATTCTCAGAAGGCACTTTCGGTGTGTAAGGACAGAGAGGATTGTCAGGAAAACAGCCTTTTACAGAAGAATGTTCCTGAGTCAGGGGGTAAAGCAGAGTCTGGCCAGATATCCAATGGGTACTCCGCAGCTCCCAGCTCCAGCACAGGGGATGACACAGGGCACTCTGTCCCAGCTGCCACCACCACCCTGGTGGCTGAGGTGCATCAAGGGGAAAGGGAGACCTGGGGCAAGAAGGCGGATTTCCTCCTCTCCGTCATCGGCTATGCTGTGGACCTGGGCAACATCTGGCGCTTTCCCTACATATGTTACCAGAACGGAGGAGGTCAGTATTGCGGGCCTGTGCAGAGGCTCTGGTCTAGGGTGGGTTATAGGTCTTGTGGGAGGCCAGACGACAAATCACGTCTTTGCTGTTTTGTGTAACTGATGTGAGTCTGGGAACATGGTTTTGTCTTTTTTTTTTTTCCTCATTGAGTTTATTGGTACATTTTAGGTATACAGTACGGTTACATTCATTATTGGGATCTTGTACCTTTACATGATAGTCTTTACTGTAGTTTAAAAGACAAATCTCCAGTAAGCTAAAAGCTTAGTTGGAGGCTTTCTGGGTTATGAATAGGATGGAAGTGATCCCAAACCAGACCTCTCCTATTCCAGCATCATTTGTATTGAAGGGTCTCCTTCTCACCCTGCATCAGCCAGGCTCTGTCCTTATTGAGCAGGAGCCAGAGAATAGCCAATCAGCACTGCGCTGAGTTCCCTCACTCCTGCTGGCCGGTGCTGTGTGGAAGAGTCTGAAAGAATCAGATCTGCATAAGGAAAAACTGGGAGGTGTTTCCAGACCCTTCTTGGCCTTTGGGCCTGCATGACATCAAAGCATGCCATCATCTTTGGTCTGGAATCTTAGGGTACCAGTCCGAGCATAATCCAAAGTTGAACTCAGCCACAGCATGACAGTAATGCCAACTCCAAATCATGAGTGGACATACTTGGTCTCTTAAAGAGTGTTAGCTGGGCCAGGTGTGGTGGCAAGTGCCTGTAATCCCAGCTCTCTGGGTGACTGAGAAACTTAATCCCAGCCTAGACAATTTAGCAATATAGTTGAGACCCTATCTCAAAATAAGAAATACAAGGGCGGGGAAAGTAGCTCATTGTGAAGGCCCTGGGTCAATCCCCAGTGCTGGGGGAAAAAAAGTGTTGGCTGGGTATGGCGGTACAGCCTGTAAACTCAGCTGCTCAGGAAGTTGATGCAGGAGGATAGAGTGCTGGAGGCCAGAAACCATATATTGTTCCTCCTTGTAATCCTAAATCTTTGAACAAGTTACTCTGTAGATGATCAAAAATTTTAGCTGACTACAAGTGTAAATGTGGAAGCCTGGGAGAGAGCAGGGCAGGGAGTGGAGTAGGTATGGATCCGCTGTGATGAAGTTGGGATTGTTATCATGATAGGAAAAGGTCAAGAGGAAATAGGTATCGATCAGTTAATATTTATTTTGATGGGAAACAGATTTGGAAGGGCAGCTGAAATGAAGTTTGGGGGATAATTCACGTTTACATTCACTTCTTCCATGGCTGACACAGAGTTGCCTTGATTTGCTACATCTCTCTTTTTCATTTATTTATTTTGGTGGGCACCAGGGATCAAACTAGGGACTTTGTGCTTGCAAGGCAGGCAGTGGCACCACTGATGCTAGATCTCTTAAAGGCTCATGTCCATGTGACTACAAAGGCAGTTCCCTGGGGGTCTCTGGGGAGTTTGGAGCTTCCTGCCTGGCAGGAGCGGAAGTCATAATCACACTCAGCTTATCGCCAGCTTGAGAGGACTCACCTTTAGCCTCAGGGTTATATAACTGCTAGGTCACTGGTGGCATATCCTATTGTATAGCTGATCAAGCAAATCCCTCGGACAAAGGCCACAAAAACACAACCTTGCTTTTATTCTCAAGTAGGTTTCCCGAGCATGATTTTAAGTACATGGACCCTGCTGAGTAGCACTGACTTCAGGTTTCTAAGACCAGAGCATTTTATAAGAGGGAAAGTTATCAGGGAAAACCATAGCTGACCTTTGGGCTGAAAGTCAGGCTGCAAGGAAGCAAGCCCTAACCCGACATTTCCAAATTTAACATCAGCCACAAGATCTGAGAGACCCTAGCATCTCCAGTTATGTAGCAATGCTGTGCTTTCTTCTGTGGTCATAAACTACCTTTTCAGCTGGGCACCCACAGGTGGCTTGTGAGGATCATTCTGCCTCAGTGGAATTATGGACATATAGCCAAATGCCAGTAATCAAATGTCTGGAGCCATAGATAATACTGATGAACAAAAACTCTAGTTCAGGGATTCATTGATGGTTATAGCTGTATAGATCACCACAGGCTTCTGTTCCCAGGGGGCCCTGTGCTGCGTTGTATCAAAATCACACAGGTAGCTTGTAAAGAGTTTTGTGTTACACCCACACATTTCTGCTTAAGAAGATTCAGGGTGGACCCTGGAATCTAGGATGTGCTTTTAAGTTCACCAGTGGTTGTGATATGTCACTGGGTTTGAAAACCTCATCCCTTTACCAAGTCACCCTTACAGGGGAGGAAATTAGGGCTCAGAGAGGGGAAGTGGCCAGCTTCTCAAGAGAGCCAGAAGTGGAAATGGTCCCAGTTCCTTCTCTGTTGATTTTCAATTCAGTTTTTCTTTCTACTTTCTCTATCAGCCTTCTCTTGGACTCTCATTTTAGCTGTGGATCCCTGTCTACTATTATTTCTGGCAAAGCACAGTGTGGTTTTGTGATTCTCAAGCCTCAGGTGGTTCTGTGATTGTTAGTATGAACCCTCTTGTCCAGATCCTTTGGGCTGTCTGGGGACAGATGTTAAACAGGAAGTGAAATTGTTTTTTGTCTGCCTCAGGAGCATTCCTCCTCCCCTACACCATCATGGCCATATTTGGAGGGATTCCACTCTTTTATATGGAGCTTGCATTGGGTCAGTACCACCGAAATGGATGCATTTCTATATGGAGGAAAATCTGCCCAATTTTCAAAGGTAACAAAGGGGTTGGGTGGGTGGCCAGTGGGGCATTTCCATCGATGGGTAGGAGCTGTGGACCTGCTTCTGGAATTACTTAGATTTTAGGTATCTCTAGGAGATAACTTGAGTCATTAAGTTTTTGATTGCTCAATTGTATTACATTTAAGAAATCATAAATAATGGGCCGGAGATTTAGCTCAGTGTTTGCAGCACCCGCCTCACAAGTGCAAGGTCCCAAGTTCGATCCCTGGTACCAAAGATAAATAAATAAATAACAATGGAAAGTAAACCAAATTTTTAAAAATTAGTAAATGTCTAAAACAAAAATGATGGCTAATGCTTGCAAATGCAGATGAATAATCTGCTACATTTCCACTTTTCCCACCATCTCCTGGAGTCTTCTGGAAATGAAATGGGTGGCAGTAACCTCTCCACCCCTCACCTGGGCTGTGGGGCTCCCCAGATGCTCTCAGCCTTTCCCTGGTGGGCTACCCTTTGACTTTGTCCTCTCCTGCCCAGGGATTGGCTATGCCATCTGCATCATCGCCTTTTACATTGCCTCCTACTACAACACCATCATGGCCTGGGCACTCTACTACCTCATCTCCTCCTTCACTGACCAGCTGCCCTGGACCAGCTGCAGGAACTCCTGGAACACTGGAAACTGCACCAACTACTTCTCCGAGGACAACATCACCTGGACACTCCACTCCACGTCCCCTGCAGAAGAATTTTATACGTAAGTGTGAGCACGTGAGGGGTGTTCGATCAGTGTAGGCCAGACCATGAGGTTCAACTTCTTAGAAGGCAAGTAGGGACCGGGGGCTTTTCACTGGTCTCCTGGAAGATTTCTGAGAGGAGAAGCTGTCAGGGTTGGGAGAATGAATGTGAATGAAGGAAGTGGTGTGACCAGGCTCCAGCAGGATTTAAAATTTGGATATTCTACCTTGAGTGCTGCATCTGGCCCTCCTGTGCCACTTCTTCCTTTCCCATGTGCCTGATCAGGGTACTTCAGTATGCAGAAAATTATTCTCCTGCCTCAAAAATGCCCTTCTTCCTAGTTCCTACTCTCAGCAAACGATCACAGAAACAAAGCCTCCAGCTCCTTCAGTAGTTCGAAGCTACTCAAAGAGCTTCTGGTTTTGTGTGTTAACTTCATGAGTGGGATCTGCCCCTTGGAAGAGCATGCTTGCAGAAAGTAGTATTCTTTAATGCAAAAAATTCAAGCAAAGATATCCCAAAGACAAAGCTACTGTATGGGTGGAGGTGGGACCCTTGGCCTGTACACATAAATGTTCATGTACCCAAAAGCCAGTCATGTTGGTGAAAGAGGTTCAAGTTGCACTCAAGAAGCAAAAAGAGAGCAAGAAGGCCAGAGAGGAAGGGCCTGCAGTTCAGATCTAGTCCGCCAGATCACATCCCATGATCTACTCCCTTCAATTAGGCCCTACTTCTGGTTACCATCACCTCGCATAAATTATGATCTCATCAGTGGATTTATCCCCCATGATCCAATCATTTCTCTAGATTCCCCCTCCAATGAAAACTGCTGTACTGGGGATAAAACCTTCAATACATGAGTCTTTGGCGGCTCTGGATATTTGCACTATAACACTGAGTGACCATTTGGACCTTGCAACATTGTGTCCATTTTTTTCTGCCTACCTTCCTGGAGGCATCATAGACTATGCGATTATATCACTGTCCAGATCCTCTCATAGGTCTTTCTTTTTCACTTCAGACGCCACATCCTACAGATCCACCGATCTAAGGGACTCCAGGACATGGGTGGCATCAGTTGGCAGCTTACCCTCTGCATCATGCTTATCTTTACCATTATATACTTCAGCATCTGGAAAGGCGTCAAAACATCTGGCAAGGTAAGGAGAACTCTGGCTGCTAATCTAGGCCTTCAGAAGGGGGCCCCACAGTGTTTCAAACTCAGGATCCAGTAGCCTGGACAGCGATGGTGAGGAGATAATCATTTTTCTTTCAACACCAAATACTTTCCATGAAGTTCTTTCTCTGCCGTATCTGTTAGAAAATTCTAGAAATGGGCCAGTACTAAACTATTATATAATTCTGTTTTCAAAATTCCTTTAACCTACTGGTAGAATCACAGTTAATAATAGTGGCCATAGGTTTGTTTTTTTTTTCAGTGTGGGGGATTGAACCTAGGGCCTAAACAAAGTACTAACAAGTACTCTAAACAAGTACTAAACAAGTACTCTACCCCTGAATGACACTCCCAGCCCAATAACGTCAGTAATTCACTAAAAAACTATTATGGGCCATGCTTGATGCTCTGTCTACACTGGTTAAATGTATTATTTCCTGCTAAATATTTCCTCTTTTTACAGATGTGGTGCAGGCTTCTGAGTAGGTAGTACTGGCCAAGCTGAGTCAGATCCCTCTTTGATTCTGGAGGCAGAAATCTTTCTGCCACAGCAACCTTGTCTCTTAAAATGACAGAATAAAAAGGTGGATCTCCTTTCTCTGTCTTTAAGAAAACAACTGTGACACCCACCCATCTCCCTTCCTTGCTCTGTCTGGAACAGCGTGGTGATAACCTGAGCTTATGCTGTCCTTCCTTACAGGTGGTGTGGGTGACAGCTACCTTTCCTTATATCATCCTTTCCATACTGCTGGTGAGGGGGGCCACACTCCCAGGGGCATGGAAGGGTGTTCTCTTCTACCTGAAACCGAACTGGCAGAAACTGCTGGAGACGGGGGTAAGATACTAACGGAGACAGTGTGTGCCTGTCTGTCATTTATTAGATGAAGCTAATTCTCCTTCACGTAGGTCAGTAGGGACAAATGAAATTTAGTTTCAACATGCAAGTCTGTAGTGATGCTTTAAACCAGAAATACACACATCGAAAATACAGTTGAAGCCACTGGATGGGTTTAAGCCTAAATGACAGGAAGATAGATCACGTTTGCCCTGAGTGTGTGACCACCCCTGGAATGAGCCCTGTTTTATTGCCCTGAATATAGCCACATGGAGACACAAGAGGTGCTGCTCTGCTGTGACCTTGCAGCAGACTGGTTCTTATCCTCACCCCTGTGTCCTTCCCCTGCTGTTCCCAGGTGTGGATCGATGCTGCGGCTCAGATATTCTTCTCTCTTGGTCCAGGCTTTGGGGTCCTCCTGGCTTTTGCCAGCTATAACAAATTCAACAATAACTGTTACCAGTGAGTATCTGGGGCCCCCAAGCAAAGCTCGGAAGTGGAGTGAGCAGAAATTAGCCAGTTGGGAGTAAGGTGACTGAACTGATGGCCTCAAACCTGGCTGGGATTGGGCTAGGACAGTACTGCCGCCCAGGAATGCCACAGCTGCCTGGCATTTCACCTGTGGGAGAGGCTCCGGACCACTCTGTTGTGTGAATCTCTCTATGTAAAGATAATATTTAAAAAATTCTGTAGCAGGTTTTCAAAAATTGCAACATCTAAATATTTGGGCTTAACTAGTTAATGTGTTTAATGACAGAAATTGCAATGTGATCAGTTACTTATGTACACAATATATATAATGAGTGAATTATTTTGACCCAACACAGGTGCCATTTTATGGAAAAATCTCACTTCAGATATTTTAACAAAACAAGGAGCGTTGATTTAAATTATCATTTAAATGTCACTTAGGACCTCTAGACTCAGTTGTCCTATCACAGAGAGCAATGTCTAAAAATCTATTGGTCCATTCATAAAATAACTTCAGGATTTTTTGAAAATTAGGAGTTCACACATTCCCTAAGCAATATGACCTTGCATTGGGACACCAACCTGAAGTTTTCTGACAAGGTCTTCTTTTAGAAATGTAATAGGTTAAACCAGGCATGATGGCACATGCCTGAAATCCTACTAGTCTGGGAGGCTGAGGCAGGAGGATCACAGAATTGCCTAGCCTGGGCCATAGAGCAACTTAGTGAGACCCTATTCCCTGCCCCCCCAAAAAGCTTGGAATATAACTCAATGTGGAGGCCTGCATTCAATCCCCAGCACACACACACACACACACACAAACACACACACAAAATCAGGGTTTCTTTGTCCCAGGTCTCTGACTTTAGCTGAAGGCTATGTCAAACCTTTAATGAAAGGACTTCACAAACCTGTGGTCAAGATTCTATCTTATGGCCTGGGGATTTAGCAAGTGGCACAGCACCTGTCTGGCAAGTACAAGGTCCTGAATTCAATCCCCAGTACCAAAAAAAAAATGCTATCTATCTTGTTCCCCACCCTTTATCCTGGGCCTTGCTCTAGAACAACCCTCTGCTGAACTGAGAGGTTTGTGCTGTGATATTTCATAGAGAGCCACCTCTTAAAATACCCACTCCCTGCTACTGTACCCATGCTATGTGTCATAGTATTTGTGCTTCATGTCCGAGAGCCTGGGCTCTGGGAGAAAGGGAAGAGACACCAGGACAGTGGAGGGGTCCTCTGAACCACACTGGCCTATGGTGGCAGAGCCGATACACAGACTGATGCTTCTTAGACTCCTCACCCTAGAACTGTCTCAGGCCTCTTGGGTTTTCTACTTTAGAGATGCGCTGGTGACCAGTGTGGTGAACTGCATGACGAGCTTCATTTCGGGATTTGTCATCTTCACGGTGCTGGGGTATATGGCTGAGATGAGGAATGAAGATGTATCCGAGGTGGCCAAAGATGCAGGTAGGACGCTGGGCTCCTGGATCGTACTGCAATGCTTTGCTTTGAATATTTACAAATATCTGACTTTTGAATTATTTTTAAGCGATCCTTTAAAATTTCAAAGATTTGAGAGAAACTTATTGCTTTGGGGATCTAAATCCTTTGCATGCATTTAGGCCACTGGAGATACATCAGCTCCCTTGGTGCCCAGTACTGGTGCCTTCAATACATGATGAACTTGAAAGTATGACTTTGATGTTCACAGGCTGAGGTAGGAGGACAACAATTCCAGGCCAGCCTGGCAATTTAGCAAGATCCTGTCTTAAAGTAACAAAAGGGCTGGGGACACGGTTTAGAGTGCTTACTTGTCATTGTAAGACCCTGAGATCAGTCCCTATTACTGCAAAACAACAAAAAGCAGTGGGTTTGGGTCCTGTGATGGTAGTGCAAAGAATCTAGTTGGGAAGGGAAACAATTACTAATGCTTAGAAATGCCCCTCTGCAGAAAAACAAATGATAGCTGATATGGCCAATCTACTGTGAGGTTTTCATGAAAAAAGAAAAGCGTGATAGATACTGAAAAAGAGGTGGTGGGTTCTAGTGAGTAGAATCCCGGGGCTGTTTGTGAACCTACTTGTATATTTGGCCCGATGTAGTACTTTGACCAGCACTATTCCCCAAACAAGGGCGCCCCTAGCTAGCCCACTGGAGGTTGAAGATGTGTCCCTGCCATTATCAAAATGGACTTTAAAATAGCAGGAAGTCTTTTTCTCATTTTTTACTGTTTTGGAGCTGAAGACATCAGAGGGTGTTAAATGCTGTGGGACTTTAGAAATTTCAGTCTTGGCACTGAAACTAAAAACACCAAATTGTTATATGGAGGAAACTCCTATTTTACACACTGCTTTTGCTAGTCTTAGGGTCTCAGGACTATTTCTATCCCCTGTTTAATTGAGAATGCACGATTTTCAAGGTGGACACTCTCTTCTTCCTGCCTCCCGGAACCCTAAGGTGACCAGGTAAGATGGTGTGGAGTATGAGGAAGCACTTAGTATGTGGCAAGGCCTGTTTCACAAAGAAGATTTGGTGATGGTAACTGTAATTGCCAATGTGGGTGAATTTTACTCTGTGACATCTTTGCAGAACAGATTTCAGAAACTGCTTCCTCCTCTCTCCCTTCTGCTTAGGCCCCAGCCTCCTCTTCATCACGTATGCAGAAGCCATAGCCAACATGCCAGCGTCCACGTTTTTTGCCATCATCTTCTTCCTCATGTTAATCACACTGGGTTTGGACAGCACGGTGAGTGAACAGGGAGGGAAAATGGGGTCTGGGAGGAGGAAGAGGACAGGGGAAGGGTGGAGAAGGAGGAGGCCATTTCCTCCCATGCTGGCCAACTCAGACAGTGTTACCTGTTCCCTCCTGGCGCTCCCAGTTTCTTGTTCATTTCTTGGCTGCGGCACTCACCACCCCATTACGTTAGAGTCATTAATGGGATAACACAGGGAAAGCGCCTGGCATGGCTGAAGGGCTCAGCTTATGCACATTCTTTATTGCATGCTCACTCTTGACCAGGTGATGGCACCTAAAGGCCAGGATGAGGTCTCCCTTGTGCTCTGCCCTGCTGAGCCTTCAGCTTAGCACCTTGCGCTTTCTAGTATGGAGGGAGTCTCAGCTTTGAGTCGGCCTTTCTGGTACAACCAGACTCCCCAAGAGAGTTCACATGCTGAAGTTCTTTCTATTTGTCATGTTTTCTTTCCTGGCTGTCCTTAGTGATAGGTTTTCAAAGACAGTGTAAATCAGGGAAATATGCTTTACAGAGGTGTTCCCGGGCCTGTGAAATGGGCATCGGTCGTAATCAGCTTGACTGATCACTTAGTACTCATACCCCTCCTCCTGTTCACTGTCCTGAAGGCACAGACTTGCTGTGACTGTTGTGTGTACCTCTCAGTTTGCAGGCTTGGAGGGAGTGATCACAGCTGTGCTGGATGAGTTTCCGCACATCTGGGCCAAGCGCCGAGAGTGGTTTGTGCTTGCTGTGGTCATTATTTGCTTCTTTGGATCCTTGACCACCCTGACTTTTGTAAGTACCGTGGCTCTGAGGTCTGAGGTGGCTACTAGGGCAATGAAATGCTATAAGAAGCTGTTCCTTTTGACCTGACCTCACCTAGTTCCCTGGTTTGGGGGCCAAAAGAAGGGAAGTTGCCAGTGCCAGTTTGTCATCATGGCCTAGGGGTGTAACTCAGTGCTAGAGTGCTTGCCTACCATGTGTGAAGCTCTGGGTTTGATCCCCAGCACTAGGGGAAAAAAAGTTGGTTACCAAGAAGAAAAGTTGTTTCTGGCAGCAATCCATCTACATAGTATCTGGAGGCTGTTAACATTTTACAATAGATCCAATTATATTTCAGTCTTGGCAGAATATCTGGAAAAAAATAGAATTTGCACTTCCAGTTTATTTCCACTCCTTAAGGCTGCTTTCATGGGAACATTGTCCTGTTCTGATAGGCAGAAGAGTGGGAGGCGGTGTCTTATTGTATAATGCCACTTTGTCTACTCTAGAATTTACAAAGGCAAAGAAGTCAGAGGTCCTTTGGTGTTGTTGCTTTTGTTTTTTTGGTAACTGAAGCAAATGTGATAAAGCATACATCAGATAGTATCCTACAGATCTCCTAGGCTGTGTCCTCCTGACTCAAGGCACATTTTATAGGTAGGCATCTTTAAATCTTGGCCCCAGCAGCTCGGGAGCTTTGATAGGGTTGGATAAGAGGCTACATACAACCTAAGGTTGCCAGGAGTTAGGTCAGAAAGGCAAAACTGACAAAGGTGCTCAATGTATCGGGTAACCATGGACGCTCCCAGATTTAGTCTTTAGTGGTAGGCAGTCTCCAGGGTTGTGTAAAAAGGAAGCGTTCAGTAAGTTGAAGAAAACTGAAAATAGATCTAGAGGCCCTTTGGAGTTTGTCTCTTAAACCTAAGTGGGGAGTGGAAACAAGAAAAATGTGCTCTGAGGATGGGGCTGAATAGTAAGAGCACTTAATTAACATGCACTGCACCCTGATTTGATTCCCACCAGCAGAAATAATAGTAATGAAAATAATTAATAATAATAATGGGCTCTGTAGAGCAGGAAGAGGAGTCTGATGTGGTGAAACCTGGCCCACACTGCAAAGGGCCCTCCAGGAAGTAGTCTCTGAGGTAGGGACACTAAGTCCAGGGTTGGAATTTGCAGCATTACCCTGAGTTCAAAAGCTGCTTCAGGCTTCTGCACTAAGCGTGAGGGCCTCAGGAGGCCCTTAACAGACTTGGATCTCGTTCTCAGGGAGGAGCCTACGTGGTGAAGCTGCTGGAAGAGTATGCCACGGGGCCTGCGGTGCTCAGTGTCGCATTTATAGAAGCAATCGCTGTGTCCTGGTTCTATGGTAAGATCTCTCTTCATTGAGCAGAGGTCCAGTTAACAACATGGCAGCCAGCACAAAGAGGGGCTGATTTCATCAAAGAAAGATGGGAAGGGGCCATTGACAAATTGGGACCTCTCGGTGGCTCTGTAAAATAATCTCAGCTGACAGCCTTCTTCAGAAATAAGTTCTCATTTCCTCCTCCTACACCCTCAGGGAGGACATTTCCCCATACTGAGTGTGAATGATTACCCAGCTGAGGCTGAAGGGCTTCACCTAGTTCATCCTCCGTGTTAGCCGAAGATCCTGATGGGCTCTAACAGTTGGAAAGAGAACACAGAATTAGTGCGCAATTAATGCCTTTGCAGTGTGTACAATGTATCACTGTTAAATAGTGGCCCGGGATTTGTATATCTCAAGCTAGAGTTCCTTCTAGAGCCCTGAGACAGAGCTCAGGCAGCTCATCTTCTAAAGAGGCAAGAATTCTCTTATTTGCATTATCTGTCCCCCTTCCTACAATGGAATTTGATAATGATAAACTCCCAGGAGCGCAGGCAGCGACCTGAGGTGGTTTTGGCAGAGGCCCCACGAGCCCCTGGGCAGTGATTTTGGACCGTGGCAATTGAAATGAGAAATCTCAGTTCAGAGATGCCTCCCTAAAGTCAAGAAGTGATTACCTCATTCTAAAAATGTACTTCTCCTTCTCTATGATAATAAAATAGTTTTAGTGCGTAGTCATTACACATATGGCAGGCGAGAATTCTACCACTAAACCACCCATACACCCATACTATTACACATATCACCCAAAGAGGGGAAAGCGTAGTTTTAATTGCACATAGGCCCGATTTTTAAAAAGTCATCCTCAGCAATTCAGAGGTCAAAGTTCAAAGCATGAATCACTGTGGACTTGTCGCCCTAGGAAGAGTGGATAAGTTTCAAGGGGGCCGACCATAGAGTACCTTCTCCCTCTCACTTTCTCACCTGCCAGCTGTGGTGAAAAGTTCTCATTTCTAGGCCAGTAGCTTTTTATAAAGGAATCCTCACCTTGATCTGGCCAATGAGTGAGCAGTATTAGGGTTAACATTTTCCTTTCAGTCAGGCCCAGCTATATCCTCTTATTTTCCCAGCTAGTCGGGAGGCTGAGGGAGAAAGATCACAAATGGAAGCCCAGCCTGGGCAATTTTGTGAGATCCTGCATCAAAATGAAATTTAAAACAGGCTAGGACATAGCTCAGCTCAGTGGTAAGAGCATTCCTAGATTTAACCCTCAGTACTTAGCCAAAAGAAAAGGAAGTCTCTAAAGTTTCCACTGTGTAGTCAAGGTTGGGTGGATTGACCAAACCTAAATAAGATTCAATTTTCTTTTTAATAACAGCAGTCAAGCCAGATCTATGTTATGCTGTGATCTTAGAAAGACAGTGTGGGCACCAAGGTCAAATGTTCACCAGACTCCTGCTGTACGTAGAAAGAGCTTTGCTTACTAATAAAAATGAAGTTTCATGACAAATCTCCCGGTCTCTTCAGACCAGATTGGTGTCCCTGAACTCCTTGATAGAGAAATGCCGGAGCTGCTACACTTGTTCAGTGTAGGAATTCTGGCTTTCTTCTTTTCATTCTGGTGACAGAGGCTGACTCTGATGACTGTGAGTCCCCCTGAGAAGCAGGGGACAGAAACAAAGTCTGTGTCCTCTCAGTGAATCTCTTTCTCTTTTGGATGATTTTAGGCATCACTCAGTTCTGCAGTGATGTGAAGGAGATGCTTGGCTTCAGCCCTGGATGGTTTTGGAAGATCTGCTGGGTAGCCATCAGCCCTCTGTTTCTCCTGGTAAGTTATCTTTTCCCTTCTTTTTCTTGCCCTGGGGAAAGACTCACCCTCAGACACTTACAAAAAATAAATTTTATTGAAGTGTAACATATATACAGAAAAGAATGTCAATCACATGTGTTTATCTCAAGGAAATTTTATAAACTGAACACTCTTATGTTGTCAAAGCCACACCAAGACACAAAAATGCAAACGGCATTCTAGAACCCTCTTGTGCCTCTTCCTGTCAATGTCCCCACCATGCTCACCCCTCTTCTGACATCTTACATAGAGAGTAGTCTGGGCTTCAGCTAATTAGTATATCACTCCCCTGCTGAACGATAATAATAAATATCATTTATGAGCACTAAGGTCCAGCCGGGCCAAATTTTGCACTAAACTTAACACCCATAGCTCTTTTTTTTTTTTTTTTTTTTTTTTTTTCATTGTACCAGGGATCGAACTTGGGACCTTGCGTTTGCAGGGCAGGTGGCAGAAACACTGAGCTAAATCCCCAGCCCCATAGCTTTTTTAATCTTCATGATTATTCTATGAAGTAGATATCATACTGGTGCTCCCATTTTACATCTAAGGAAATTGAGACTTAATAACATTAAAGTCGCATAACAAGTAAAAACTATTCAAGACCAGGAAAGAATTTACTGCGCTGTTCAGGAAGTGCCTGAGCGAGATCCAAGTCATTTCATATTTCAAATTTTCTTGCATCTACTTAAAGAAACTCCTTACAAAGGTCCTAAAGCATAGGTCCAAGTCAAAAGTAGAATCCATTTATTGCCAAAGGATGTGGTTGAGAAAGGTGAGTTTCAAGGATTGTCCATTTGGCAAGACAAGTTCAATATTCACTTTATCCTTACTTATATGGCTCCAGATTCCTTCTGTGTTCACCTCAAGAGAGGCATTTGTCCAAAGATGGGTAATGTCCTGCTGACCTCCCAAGTGTGCACTTGAGGTATTCTGGGGTTAACTCCCCCTGTGTGTGTCAGCAGGGATTATTCTTTAGTTCTTCCCCGTACCTCACTTTATTTGGTGGGATGTTGAATAGTTAGAGCCAGAAATAATGTTAGACTGTTCCTTTTCCAATTTATTGAGAGTATTTAGGCTATTCCATTTTGTCTTGGGACCTCTCTGGCATACAACTTTCCCTTCCCTCCTTTAAAAATTGCGCTTTTGCCAGGCGAGGTGGCACACGCCTGTAATCCCAGCACTAAGGAGGCTGAGACAGGAGGATCGCTGTGAGTTTGAAACCAGCCTGGGCTACACAGTGAGTTCCAGGGCAATCTGAACTGCATAGTGAGACTGTCTCAAAAATAAATAAATAAATAAAATAAAAATTGCACTTTTGTGTTCTATCTTGGGGAAGCCCTTTATTTTTTGTACTTGCATATCTTAATATTAATGTATGCAAAATGGCCCCCCATGCTTATTTGGCCTCTGAGACACTGTACATGTTTCTCTGTACCCTAAAAGTCTGGCTTCTATTCCCACAGGCTCCAGAGGTTTCAAAAACCAAAGCCAATTATTTACCCCAAACAACAAGTATCCCCTAGGGCACAGTGGCTCTTGTGTAAATGCTGGGCTCCAATGTTCCCATAGATTTGGCTTAGTGGATTCGTATGGCCTTTTCAGTTTACTGATGCTTTTAAGTAACATTAAAAATGTATTTACATACTATTATATAAGTATATATTTTATAGAAATATATTTATCTTATAAAATATATATTCTCAGTGCAGAAGTTTCTGTTGTTTTCAGTGAAAGGCTTGGTCTGAATCACCAGGCCCACCATTACCAGAAGCACTTCTCACATAAATGGGTTATTAATTTATATTAATACCAGTGCTTCTTGATAATCTACTTAAATGCTTTCATTTGTTTTTTAAAGGAAGAAGAGACATTGGATTAGTTCCTTGAGGACAGAAACATATTTATCTACTTTTGCCTTCCCTACCTAGTGGGAAAATGGATGGTGTCCACAGCCCAAACTTGGGTAAAGCAAGTGAAGAGAGTACTCAAGCCACATAATATTTTAATGCAATATTTTTGAAAATGCAAAAGGATACACTATGAACAATATTTTGAATAACACAGGACCTGACCCTGTAGCTGTGTGACTCACTTCACTTGCTTTACCTTAATCTGGCTCCATCCATCCTGTCTGTTAAACATTTCACTAAAATATTAATTATCTTGGCTTCCCCTTAAGTAAATATCAAGGAAATAAAAATAAATAAACAAATAAATAATTATACCGACTTCCCCTTCACTGCTGTGCCTGAAGTGAGTGCTTCACATAGCGCATGCACCCCTGTCCTCGGTCTGAGCCTTGTGGTTCTTTCACTTCTGGCAGTGCATGGTCAATGAGTTCCTTCACCTAGCAAAACTCACATACAGACTTGGGTGCAGGCAGAATATTCATGATTCTCATGATGTTTGCTTTACGCTCCTCTAAAGGCAAGTGCTCCAGTGCCCAATTAAGAGGAGGCAAATCTGTGTTTTTATTTCTAGGTTCGTTTACTTAACAGATCTCTGCTCTATGTTTTTTAAGGCTACTTTAGGTAAACAACGAGTAAGTTACTAAAAATATTCTTTTTCACTGAAGCCAAGTTACAAAAAAAAAAAGAAAACATTGTGATTGTGTATAAGCAAGGAGAGGCTGGGCTACATGAAGGGGTTTCTCTTTTTCCTCTCTCTCTCTCTCTCTCTCTCTCTCTCTGCCCATTCCTTCCTTCCTCTCTTTCTGCCCCTTCCTTCCTTTTCTTTCTTTCTTTCTTTCTTTCTTTCTTTCTTTCTTTCTTTCTTTCTTTCTTTCTTTCTTTCTTTCTTTCTGTTAGTACTGGAGATTAAACCTAGGGCCTTACACATGCTAGAAAAGTGCTCTACCCCTGAGCTACAACTCTAGCTCTTCTTTTTTCAAAAACTCAGACAGGGTCTCACTAAATTGCCCAGTCTGGCCTCAAGTTTGTAATCCTCCTGTCTCCACCTCCCAAGTATCTGGGATTACAGACATGGACCACCATACCTGGCTGTGAGAGAGTTTCTGAAGCCCTCTCTGACTGAGTTGGATTTCGTATACTTGACATCAAGATGGTATGAGTTCTAGCAGCAATGGCTCCTAGCCAGACTTACTCTTCTTTCGTTCCCAAATTTCCTTCCTTAGTAACTGGTCTGGGATGAGAAGAATAAGTCAAGAAAGATTTGCAATTTACCTGACTCCTGTTTTGAAGACCTCCTTTTGGGTTTAGGGTAACACTGCTCAGAAGATGGATGTGTGTTTAACAATTTCCCATTTTATTACCTGCAGACAAAGGAAAAAAAAGATATAAATAGATGTTTAACCACACAAATAATTTATATTACTGTCTGTCTTCTTTATGACTATGAAATAATAAAATTAAATTAAATCAAGAGCTATAATTATTTTGACACAGTGGTTACTAGGCAAAAACTGATATTTGTGCTCTCTAGAAACCAAACTGAAATAAGAAACTAATAAATTGGGTGTTCAGAGCACATTGTGGAATTATTCTTGGTCAAAATTTTCACAGAATTTTCAAGTGAAAAATATATTAAGCTGCTTATTTCCTTCTGTAATTCATTATGAGGACCTGGGAAGCCATCATTCATGACTGAGATGTCTTGTGGCAGAACCACTCTTGAATCTCCAGCTAAGGAGCTTTAATGCAGAAAGCAAACAGGATGAAGAACATGCCCAGAAACCTGAGTTCTCCTCAGGTCTTGGGAACCTTATAATTGCTTTCAGATATAAGGCACCTTCCATCCGAGAAAAAAACCACCATAGCCAGGAAAGGCAGGAAAATGAAAACAAGGCAGAGAGAAATATATAAAGTGGTAGGACTGGCAGGGGATGGTGAAATAAACACCCAGTTCATTCGTCTGCTGTCTCTGATGGGGCACTGTAACTTCCCTGGCTTTATGGGTAACTGTAGGGATACTATACCATCTCTATAGGATGGGGATGCATTGTAGGCCTGAAAACCTAGAAAAGCACCTGGCTATTTATCATTTATTTACTGATTGATACCAGGGACTGAACTCAGGACCTTGTGCTTGCAAAGCAGGTGGTGGCATCCCTGAGCTAAATCTCTGGCCCTGGCTGTTTTATTTTTGCAGGTTAAGTCGGAGTTCAATTTGGGCTATATCCCAATTATATTTTAGCTTCAGCATTCGGTGTATGTGTTATCAGAGTATCTGCATATTGTTAAGACTTTTAATGTTTCTTGGAATTTTTGTTACAGTTCATCATCTGCAGTTTTCTGATGACCCCGCCCCAGCTGCGACTTTTCCATTACAGTTATCCCCATTGGAGTGTCATCCTGGGTTACTGCATAGGGATTTCCTCTATTATCTGTATCCCCACATATATAATTTATCGGCTGATCATTACTCCAGGGACCCTGAAGGAGGTACGTGATAGAGTGTATGTGTGTATATTTTGGGGGAGAAAAGACTTCTCTTTTATGCTGTATTTAAAAGAGATAAGTCTACATGAAGTTTCATCAGAAAGCATTTAACCTTATGTGTATACCTACACCATTGTATAGATCGCTAATGGCTTGCACTGTTGTTATAAAGCAACTTCCAAAATTCCAAATATATAGGCAAAAGAATGAGTTGAATTTTTTTTTTAAAACAAGATCTCACTAAGTTGCTAAGTTGCCCAGGTAGGGCTCAAACTTGCAATCCTATCTTCCTGCCTAAGCCTCCCAGAGTGTTGGGATTACAGGTATATACCATCATCCACAATGAGCTGATCATTTGGTGTACCACAGCATTTACAGAGCCCACAGTCATATACAGAGTCCACAGTTTGGGGTATGTGTAGCTTTTTAAACCTATCAGGTAACTACTTTGCCTCTTGCTTCCTGTTGGGCATGGATATCAGACCTATGAAGTTGGAAGCCATACACAGATTTCAAGTGGAAAGTATGGTAGAAATGTCCATGGTGATTTTTCTAATAATTATGTGACAAATATTGTTTTTAAAATAATCATAAAATATGGAGAGTTCAACATATACTTATAGCTCAAAAAATTATTAGCTAGAAACAAGCTGTAATATGTACATGTAACCACTCCCAAAGATGATTATAAACTGCCTGAATTACAAGCATGCACTAATAAATAAAAAATCATAAAAAAGAATGCAACTTTAAAAATTACTAACTATCCAACAATATCATAGTTTTAGCTCAAGCTGTTGTAGTAAATTTTTTTTGGCAGTAATGAATAATGTGCTATAAACTTTTTTTAATTCATTAATTTTATCAGTACATTTTAGGTATACAATATGCTGACATTCATTATTGGGAATATGTACCATGTAAACTTTTTAATAATAATACCTTACAATTTGTATAAGAGTCCGTGCTTTCAAAAGCATTTGTGTAAGCTGATCTTAATCTGTTATCGAAATATCTTGTGAGGTAGATGGGTAGGTATTATTTGCAGACAAAACCACTGAGTCTGGGAATAATCCTGCTCAAAATGTCCTTACTTCATTGAGTCTGAGCTAGAGTATAAGAACTCCCTCTGCACCCAGGTCTTCAGATTCCTGGTGCAGTGTTCCTTTCACTTTTAGATGCAACATCCCTCTTGCCCTTGGGTTTGACAGTTTGCTAAAGCAGAAATTAGTGCTAGTGGTTAGGGAAAGAATAGTAGCCATTTTCCCAGGCCCAGGCCGCCAGAATGAGTGGTTCAGTCATGAGATTATCAGCAGTGTTATACTGTACATTAACAGAATAGAAAAGCTTCACTTGTTACATGTTCGGTTGTGTTTCTTGCCACAGTCAAAGGGTACTGTGCCAGAGAAGCCCGAGACTTCATAGTTGAGTGCTTTCTCAGAGTACAAACTCAAAGTGAAGAATGGTATCTGGGAAAAGTTAGATGGAACCCTAACCTAGGATGGCCTGAGAACTGAGGTGGGGTAGTCTCTGGGCTCTAACAAGCAAAACTCAGACGTGAGACCATCACACTAAAACTCCTCAGACATTTCATGAGAAGCAAGAAGCAAGAGCACATGAGCAGTTAAACACCAGCTCTTTCAGGCTGAGACGTAGCTCCATGGTAGAGCACTTGCCTAGCATGCACCAAACCCTGGTTTTAATCTCCAGCACCAACCAAAAACAAAATATTAGCTCTTTCTGAGAACAACTGGGTTCATTTCTTTTTCCAAATATGAAAACTGAATTAAAGGTGAATTCCGCAGTTACTAATTTCCTATGCCCAGGCTAGTTCTATCATGACTTCATCCTCCCAAAGAGCACTGGACCTTGGTGTTGCTTATAATAGAGTCTCAGAACCAGAGTCACTGAATTCACTCCTTCAGGTTGTCCTTTTGGGAGTTGAGATGATCCATGAACTCTGCTGCTTCAAACCCAAAGGCCAGAGTCAGGGGTGGGAATCTAATTAGGTTAATAATGTCTGTCTGTATTCCTTAGTCACAGCCTCTACCTCAAATCCTAGCCATCTTTATTTCAAATTCAAATTCCCACATCTGGTCACAAAGGAATGCTATCCGAAATTCTATAGGCAACAGAGCTAAAATCTGTTGGTGGTAGAGGTAAGATGTCATCAGTGGACCACTTCTTTGACTAGCTGGTTACCTACCATCTTGTAGAAGGACAGGGTCTGGAAAATTTTGAGAGCAGTGGTAGACGGATAACTAGAAGGCTGCTAAAATATGGAAACCAAAGGTGAGCCAGGTATTTTGTGGGGTCAGCAGCCAGTATGGCAGCAAAATATATGGGTAGGGCTTAGGGCACAAGAAGCCAAGCATTTTTCTTTTTTTCCTCTTCTTCCTCCTCCCTCCTCCTCCTCCTCTTTCTTCATCTTTTTTTTTTTTGGTACTGGGGATTAAACCCAGGGCCTTCATGCTGAGCTAAGTTCCTTTATTGAGGTGTTTCTTGAGACAGGATCTTGCTATATTGCCCAGGCTGAGCTTGATCCTCTGGCTCAGCTTTCTGTGGCTGGGATTATAGGCATGAAACCACCCCCCACCAGCTAGCATTTTTCTTTCTAATGCTGTTTGTTGTTAGCCTTGCCTCCACCACATACCTTGGCAACTCTTCTCCCTATACACACTAGAACTGTACTTAAGACTGTTACAGTGATCTGTGTCTAGTTCCTATCTAGCAAGACATAATTCTGTTTAATGTTAAAGTTTATATAATCATACTTGGGGATGGATGGTTTCTGAAATTTTGCTTTCAGTGACTCAATAGGCCCTGACAGTGGATGAATACTGTAACAACTATTTTTAAAGTGGATTTCTAGTGCTATAGTTTAGTACTCAGATACTAAGGTCATGAGGAATACAAAATGTATGACCTTATGAATTTCATTAACTATAGAAACAGACTATGACAAGCTGGGTGTGGTGGTGCATGCCTGTAATCCCAGCACTCAGGAGGCTGAGGCGGGAGGAGTTCGAGACCAGCCTGGGATATATAGTGATGTTCCAGGTCAGTCTCAACTACATAGTGAGACCCTGTCTCAAAAAAAAAAAAAGAAAGAAAGAAACAGAACTCTGTCCATAGACCCTGTGCCTTAAAGGACAACAAACTCTCAGAAAAACTTAAGACTGCTACATACTTTTGCAACCCTGAATAATAATAATAATAATAACAATAATGATAATAAACAGTAGCAAATCTTCACCTAAAGATCAATAAATCAGATGTTTTTAATATAGGGCTGGGGTGCTGGGGATTTAGCTCAGCGTTTCCGCCACCTGCCTTGCAAGCGCAAGGACCAGAGTTCGATCTCCAGTACCCAAACCCAAATATATAACAAGCAAAGGGTCCTGAGTTCAATCCTTGGTACCAGGGAGAAAAAAAAAAAAGAAAAAGAAAAAAAATCCTGTGTCAAGATGTTTCCGATATAATTTTGCCTGCTTCCCAACATACAGACTTTTGACCATCAAAGATTTTACTAAGCCACTTACTAAAGATTTTAGAAAATCTAGTAAGAAATCTAGTAAGAAAAGTTAGTAAGCCTTTACTATGCTGCTGTTTTTTTCTTCTTCACATCCCTGAGCTGCTTCGTGTCATTCTGGGGCTTCGTTTTACAAGACAGGTTGTATATTTCATTCCTAAGCTGAAGCATATTTTAGAGCTGTCTTCTATACACCTCTGCTGTTTCTGTAGTAGAAATTCTGAGCCTCTTCCCTCTGATGAGTACTAAACCTATGTGAGTCTTCCTTTAAGTGATGATTTAAATGGTCACATCTTTTAAATTTTGTTATGTGATAATCTGAATGAACCAGTACTGCCTTACAGGTGGATTCACTGAATCAGTAAGATCCTGGCTGTGGCCATGGCCATGAGCTGGGCACTATGGCTGAGGTATGCGTGTAGTGTATAAGGAATCTGCCTTAAGGAGAGGATAGACCAAAATCTAGCGTTCACTCGGCTCCCCAAACCTGCGTGACCGTGAGAAGCTGCCTCTTGTCTGGAGAAAAGAATGCCTTTCATAAGTCCTCAAATGCATTTTATGAGCCAGCAGAGGCTCAAGGCTTTTTTTGAATTAGTGTTAAAATAATGCTCTTTACTAGTTTATAGATGCTTACTGTTCTGACTGCTCTGTTTTATCTATATTTGAGAATTAATTGGGAATTCCTTTCCTGAGGAAAATCAGTGAGATTATTCCAACTTACTAGAGACATTAAAGTATTATTTAAATTTTGTTGTATTATTAATGTTGAAATATTTTTTCAATTTTGTTAAATTATATGACTTCTTATAATATTGTATTTTCTTCCCAAAAGCGCATTATGAAAAGTATCACTCCAGAAACAGCAACAGAAATTCCTTGTGGGGACATCCGCTTGAATGCTGTGTAACCCATTCCAGTGAGAAATGGCTTCCCAGCCCCTACTCCAGCTCTGATGAATCCCACCTCACCTCTCTCCTCTAAGTGAATGAGTTTCCAGCCAAGCCTGATGATGAAAGGATCTTCTTCATGGAGACACAGTCCCAAAAGACTATGGTGCCCAGACTCTTACAGCCTCCAGTCACTTCTTTCCATTAATTACTACATTAGACTGTGATGCAACTGAACTGGCCTGTTTTGAATATGTGAGGGTGTGTATGGAGGTGATGAAAACCACCCTATCATCCATTAGGATTAGGTTTAGAATCAAGTCTGTGAATGTTTCCTGTGTCTTTTTTCAGTATGACTATTGTTATTTGGCATCTCTTTGCCTCTAAAGGCTTCACAGTTCATGAATGCATTAAACATTAGAAGAAAATGGGATGTTGTCTCGCTAGCCATATATTTTCTGAATAGCATAGAAATCTATAGCTTGAATCCAATAGTACCCTCAACCCATGTGCTACTGTGGGTCAGGAAAGGAAGATGTAAGAAGCTAAACTGAAAAATAATGTGTACACGTGAGCATTTGTGTCTGTTTATATTGTTATGTATGTACTCATTTCTACTCCAATACTTTGAGCCCATTACAAACTATATGAATTTCCGTTCATCTTTCTTACATTAACAAAGCCTACCTATTCAAACATGCATATATGTTATTATTTGAAAGATGCAGTTACTACAATATGCTCTGGTACCTTCTTTTCCAGTGACACTACTTTTGCTCACATACATTCCCCAGGGGCCAACTTTGGTATCTGCTGTCCTTCATTTCCGTATTCCTATCTGTCTCTCTCTGCTAAATGTTCAGGACAACATTCCATAAGCAAATCTGGCCTATTTTGTTAAGTCACCATGGGTTAGCTGTGAACTGCTTTGAAGATGGATTTTGACATGTCCACCTTCAGTGTTCATCTGGCCATCTGGATTAAGCTCTGTTTGCTTAAACGACTGAGTCTGACTGTAGGTTACTTTGTGCAGAGAGTGTAAACCTAAATCTCACGTATCTCTAGGGTGCATAGATGTGGTACTGACTTAAACTCACAAAGGTATCCTCATTCCAAGAGCAACTGGAAATTCTGGTTAAATTGTCTCTCCCCCTCACTCTGGTTCTTCCTGGTAGTCATGATTATACATTACCCAGATAATTCTCAAGATTGCATCTAAGTAAGATCGACTGGGGAATAGTCAGTTATGCGAATAACCTTTCATTTCATGTAAAGCCCATAATATAGATAAGTAAATTTGGCCTTTGGTTTGTGATTCTCAGATGCACAGGTATAGAAATAAATTTTACCCTGTGGTGTGAGATCGCCCCCCCCAACTCCCCGCCGCTGGTAGCAGAGATCAAATTCAGGACCTTGCACTTGCCAGGCAGGCACAGCGCCACTGAGCTACATCCCTGGCCCAAGATTTAATCAAAATCTTAAAGGGACTAAATTCTTGTCAATGATAAAAGGACTCAATTAGCTGACCTGATATAACTTCAGCTCTCCATATAATTTAAGTTTAATTTTAACAACTTTATAAAAACAGGTTCATGTAGCAGAGGCCTGAACTTAACCAATTATAGATCTTTCTCCTTTGGATTCCTTCCCCCCAGCAATCTGTCCTGGCCATTTTCTTATATTCTTCCTACATCCTGTTCTTTTTAATCTTTAGGGATGTTTTTGGATATTAGCTGATGATAATTTCCCAAATTGTTAGAAGAAAAAAAGAGGGGAATTTAATATCCCTCTGACTTGCATTACCTTCATTCTTTCATTCCTTTTTGCTGTCTTATTTCCATTTTATTTGCTTTCTACTATGCAGACAGAGAGAAGATATGTAAGTGGTAGTGTATTCAGTGGTAAATAGCTTTGCAGATTTTAAAAGATTTTTGGATATGGATTCTCTCCACTCCATCCATTAATATTTAGGCATTCTCTCAAGACTGTTTTTTTTTGTTTGTTTTTTTAAATTGAGGATTGAACATAGAGCCTTTGCACTGGGCTATATCCCCATTTTTTATTGGTTAATTGATTGATCAATCAATTGAGATAGAGTCTCATTAAATTATTAAGCTCAGGGCTGGGCTTAAACTTTCAATCCTGCTTCAGCCTCCCACAGTGCTGGGATTACAGTCATGTGCCACCACACTCTGCTAAGATTATACTATTTTATAAACATTTTTTCAAACAGTTTAACCAAGTCAGGCAATAAGGTTTCAAACTTCATGGAACTGAAGAAAAAAATTTGTCCTTCATAGTTTGCATTTATTTGACTCCTATTTATCAATACCACTACAGATTTTTTAAAGGAAAATTTAAGAGGTAGATTTTAAAATAATTTTTGAAGATTTTTACGTCTAATGTAACATTTACATAAAAGTAAAAGCAAAATGAAATTGAACTGTAAAATAATTTAAGGACAATTTTTTCTTATGCTTCTATTACTAATAAATGGCCAAGAAAAGGGGTACAAGGGATGTAATTCAGTGCTAAAGTATATGCTTAGTTAAAAAAAAAAAAAAAAGGATATGCTTAGTATATGCGAGGTCCTGGGTTCAATCTCCAGTACCACAAACCCCTTCTCCCCTAAAAAAGATACAGACAAGATAAAAAATAAAGACAAAGTCATGGGGAGAATTCAATTATTAGAAGTTGTTTCCTCTATTGGTATGCAATGAAATCCAAAGAATTCATCTTTAACTGTAAACTTGGCTAGAATGCATAGAGTCGTAACCTAAATTCACTAACCTGGTTGTCCCATTAGGAGATGGGTGCAAAGATCATAACAAACCCAAATTCAATAATAATAGCTCCAAAATCAAATAATGGAATAAAAAAATAAGGCGAGCTGGGCGTGGTGGCGCAAACCTGTAATCCCAGCACTCGGGAGGCTGAGGCAGGAGGATCGCTGTGAGTTCGAGACCAGCCCGGGCTACATAATGAGTTCCAGGTCAGTCTCAACTACATAGTGAGACCCTGTCTCAAAAAAACCAAAAAAAAAAAAAAAAAAAAAAAAAAAAAAAAAAGCAAAAAAGTTATTTGGTGCTACCAATGTCAAAATTTAAGTGTAAGCATGAATGCTTACTTAACCCCTCACATCCCAAAAGGGAGACTATTCTCCAGGAATTAGAATAGTATTGTTGCTTCTAAGTAGAAAAGACTCACCTAATATGTTTTATCAATGATACAATTGGCTTGGAATTCACTATCCAAGCTTATCATCACAGAATGCAATGGCCTGCCATTCTTATATTATCTTAAACAATGGTACAACCCAAACCCAGTTCGTTTCTTAGCGTGTCTCTTTATTCCTAAGTCCACCTCTGATGCTTAAGATATCAGAATTACATAAGATGGTTGTCTTCATCAAACCCAGTAGGGCATTTTTATTGTTTTTTGTTTGTTTTTGTCAGGGAGAGGTAGGGAAAAGCAGGGAATTTCTCAGAGAGGCTATCTATCCATCCAGTGGTGGCAAACCTACGGCATGCGCTCTACAGTGGGCTTTTCATTACCACTGAAATCTCTAAAAGGTTCACCATGACCTGTCATCCTCATAAGTAATGTAATAAAAGAGTCCTGTGCTAAGTGGGAAAAGTTGTATAAGTCATCATGGAATTTACACATCATATTTTTAAACACAAGAGTTACAGAAAGGGCTCTTAGCCAGGAAGGTGAACTTAGAAAGTGCTTGCTTGAGAAGCATGTTAAGGTGTTAAGGAATGAAGTCTATAAAGTCAAATATGGAAAATAAAAACAAAAACGACTGAGACAGGAAACAGTATCACACTAGAAAAGCAGTTCTTATCCACTGGAAACACTTCAGTTTCTGAATTTTATTCAAAATAGAGATGAATTCACAATATTTATTTAATGAAATCTGATGTTTAATTGTATGGAAAGAATATTTCAAAGCTTTTTTTTTTTCCTACTTTTTGTAGCATCTATCACCCTTTTCTTTCATTGTTGGTCTTTACATTTTTATTACTTTTTTTTTTTTTTGGTACCAGGGATCGAACTCAGGTCCTTGTGCTTGCGAGGCAGGTGGAACCACTGAGCTAAATCCCCAGCCCTCTTTCAATTTAAATGATAGAACAAGGTTTAAAGCTCAGATTACTCCTTTAGAGGCGGAGAATAACCTGGTGATCAAACTAAATTGTCTGTTCTTCCTGGAATAGAGAAATTTCTAAAAAAAGGTAAACCAATTTTACTTGCGCTACTAGTATGAAATAATACACCTCAATTGGCTTAACAGATAGCATGTGGAAAAGATATTTAGTATAGAATCTTAAATGTTCCTTTTGTTTCATACAGTTACAATTAGTTCAGTACTGTTTCTATATTAGATATGTTTTTAAAAGCCTCACCTTTGTAACAGAAGTGCTCTTTCATTGGAAATGATTCATAATGTGTATCAATTAGAACGCTAGGTGATAGTTCTTAGCAACACATCATAAAAATCCAAGACAAACTGTTCTACCAACAATTCCAGTTTGTTATTGTTATTTTACCTTGTTTTTGTTTTGGTTACCATGTTTTCATGCATGTTAAGCAAGCACTCTTATCACTGAGCTACATCCCTAGCCCAGTGCTAGGAAGGGGATTAGCAATATAGTGGCATGGACAGAGTTTGAACAAAACATCTTCTAAAATAAAAACTCCAGTAATAAGGTAGATATATTTCTAAACTTTTCCCAAAACCTCCCAACTTTTTTGCTATCACTTAATAATTTTTTTTTTTTTTTTTTT